AATAGACTTTAAACCAACAAAGATCAAAAGAGACAAAGAAGGACATTGCATAATGGTAAAAGGATCACTGCAACAAGAAGAGCTAACGATCCTAAATATATACGCACCCAATACAGGAGCACCCAGATACATAAAGCAAGTTCTTAATGACTTACAAAGAGACTTAGACTCTGACACAATAAGAGTGGAAGACTTTAACACCCCATTGTCAATATTAGATCAACAAGACAGAAAATTAACAAGGATATCCAGCACTTGAACTCAGACCTGGACCAAGTGAACCTAATAGACATTTACAGAACTCTCCACCCCAAATCCACAGAATATACATTCTTCTCAGCACCACATCACACCTACTCTAGAATTGACCACATAATTGGAAGTAAATCACTCCTCAGCAAATGCAAAAGAATGGAAATCATAACAAACAGTCTCTCAGACCACAGTGCAATCAAGTTAGAACTCAGAATTGAGAAACTAAGTCAGAACCGCACAGCTTCATGGAAACTGAACAATTGGCTCTTGTATGTTGACTGGATAAAAAATGAAATGAAGGCAGAAATAAAGATGTTCTTCGAAACCAGCAAGAATGAAGACACAACATACCAGAATCTCTAGTATGTTTAAAGCAGTGTCTAGAGGAAAATACATAGCAATAAATGCCCACACGAGGAGCAAGGAGAGATCTAAAATCAACACCCTATCATCAAAATTGAAAGTGCTAGATGAGCAAGACCAAAAAAATTCAAAACCTAGCAGAAGGCAAGAAATAACTAAGATCAGAGCAGAACTGAAGGAAATAGAGACACAAAAAACCCTTCAAAAAAATCAATAAATCCAGGAGCTGGTTTTTCGAAAAGATCAACAAAATAGACCACTAGCCAGATTAACAAAAAAGAAAAGAGAGAATAATCAAATAGATGCAATAAAAAACAATAAAGGGGATATCACCACAGATTCCACAGAAATACAAACCATCATCAGAGATTTTTACAAACATCTCGATGCACATAAACTAGTAAATTTCCTGGAGGAAATGGATAAATTCCTGGACACCTGCAACCTCCCAAGCCTAAACCTGGAAGAAGCCGAAACCCTGAATAGACCAATAACAAGGTCTGAAGTTGAGGCAGCAATTAAGAGCCTTCCACCCCAAAAAAGCCCAGGTCCAGATGGATTCAGAGCTGAATTCTACCAGACATACAAAGAGGAGCTGGTACCATTCCTTATGAAACTATTCCAAACAATCCAAAAAGAGGGACTCTTTCCCAAATCATTTTATGAGACCAACATCATCCTGATACCAAAACCTGGCAGAGACTCAGCAAGAAAAGAAAACTTCAGGCCAATATCCATGATGAACATAGATGCAAAAATCTTCAATAAAATACTGGCAAACCGATTGCAACAGCACATCAAAAAGCTTATCCACCATCATCAAGTAGGCTTCATCCCGGAGATGCAAGGCTGGTTCAACATATGCAAGTCTATAAACATAATTCACCACAGAAACAGAACCAAAGACAAAAACCACATGATTATCTCAACTGATGCAGAGAAGGCCTTTGACAAAATTCAACAGCCCTTTATGCGAAAAACCCTCAATAAACTAGGTATTGATGGAACATATCTTGAAATAATAAAAGCTTTTTTTTTTTTTTTTTGAGGCGGAGTTTCGCTTGTTACCCAGGCTGGAGTGCAATGGCGCCATCTCGGCTCACCGCAACCTCCCCCTCCTGGGTTCAGGCAATTCTCCTGCCTCAGCCTCCTGAGTAGTGGGATTACAGGCACGCACCACCATGCCCAGCTAATTTTTTGTATTTTTAGTAGAGACGGGGTTTCACCTCGTTGACCAGGATGGTCTCGATCTCTTGACCTCGTGATCCACCTGCCTCGGCCTCCCAAAGTGCTGGGATTACAGGCTTGAGCCACCGTGCCCGGCTGAATAAAAGCTTTTAATGACAAACCTACAGCCAATATCAAACTGAATGGGAAAAAACTGGAAGCATTCCCTTTGAAATCTGGCACTAGACAAGGATGCCCTCTCTCACCACTCCTATTCAACATAGTATTGGAAGTTCTAGCCAGAGCAATCAGGCAAGAAAAAGAAATAAAGGGTATTCAAATAGGAAAGGAGGAAATCAAATTGTCTCTATCTGCAGACGACATGATTGTATATCTAGAAGACCCCATCGTCTCAGCCCAAAATCTCCTGAAACTGATAAGCAACTTCAGCAAAGTCTCAGGAGACAAAATCAATGTGCAAACATCACAGGCATTCCTATACACCAATAACAGACTTAAAGAGAGCCAAATCAAGAATGAACTGCCATTCATAATTGCTACAAAGAGAATAAAATACCTGGAATACAACTAACAAAGGATGTAAAGGACCTCTTCAAGGAGAACTACAAACCACTACTCAACAAAATAAGAGAGGACACAACAGATGGAGAAACATTCCATGTTCATGGGTAGGAAGAATCAGTATTGTGAAAATGGCCATACTGCCCAAAGTGACTTACAGATTCAATGCTATCCCCACCAAGCTACCAATGACCTTCTTCACAGAACTGGAAAAAAACCACCTTAAACTTCATACGGAACCAAAAGAGAGCCCATATACCAAGTCAATTTTAAGCAAAAAGAACAAAGCAGGAGGCATCACACTACCAGACTTCAAACTGTACTGCAAGGCTACCGTAATCAAAACAGCATGGTACTGGTACCAAAACAGAGATATAGACCAATGGAACAGAACAGAGACCTCGGAAGCAATGCCACACATCTACAACCATCCAATTTTTGACAAACCTGACAAAAAGAAGCAATAGGGAAAGGAGTCCCTGTCTAATAAATGGTGTTGGGAAAACTGGATAGCCATGTGCAGAAAGCAGAAACTGGACCCCTTCCTGACACCTTACACTAAAATTAACTCCAGATGGATTAAAGACTTAAACATAAGACCTAACACCATAAAAACCCTAGAAGAAAACCTAGGCAAAACCTTTCAAGACATAGGCATAGGCAAGGACTTCATGACCAGAACACCAAAACCATTGGCGACAAAAGCCAAACTAGACAAATGGGAGCTAATCAAACTCCACAGCTTCTGCACAGCAAAAGAAAGAGTCATTAGAGTGTATCAGCAACCAACAGAATGGGAAAAAATTTTTGCAATCTACCCATCAGACAAAGGGCTGATATCCAGAATCTACCAAGAACTAAAACAGATTTACAAGAAAAACCCCATTCAAAAGCAGGCAAAGGACATGAACAGACACTTTACAAAAGAAGACATACATGAGGCCAACAAGCATATGAAAAAATGCTCATCATCACTGGTCATTAGAGAAATGCAAATCAAAACTACATTGAGATACAATCTCATGCCAGTTAGAATGGAAATCATTAAAAAATCTGGAGACAACAGATGCTGGAGAGGATGTGGAGAAATAGGAATATTTTTACACTGTTGGTGGGAGTGTCAATTAGTTCAACCACTGTGGAAGACAGTGTGGCAATTTATCAAGGACCTAGACATAGAAATTCCATTTGACCCAGCAATCCCATTACTGGGTATATATCCAAAGGATTATAAATTGTTCTACTATAAGGACACATGCACACGAATGTTCGTTGCAGCACTGTTTACAATAACAAAGACCTGGAACCAGCCCAAATGCCCATCAATGATAGACTGGTCGGGGAAAATGTGGCACATATACACCATGGAATATTATACAGCCATCAAAAACGATGAGTTCTTGTTCTTTGTAGGAACATGGATGAACCTGGAAAACATAATTCTCAGCAAGCTGACACAAGAACAAAAAATCAAACACCACCTGTTCTCATTCATAGGCAGGTGTTGAACAATGAGAACACATGGACACAGGGAGGGAAGCATCACATATTGAGGTCTGTCAGCACAAATAGAGGAGGAACAGTGGGGATTGGGGAGTTGGGAGGGATAGCATGGGGAGAAATGCCAGATATAGGTGATGGGGAGGAAGGCAGCAAATCACACTGCCATGTGTGTACCTATGCAACAATATTGCATGTTCTTCACATGTACCCCAAAACCTAAAATGCAATTTAAAAAGAGAAAAATAAAATAAAATAAAAATCAATACCAAATTAGTAAAAGAAAAAAGTAAATTAAAAATGTAGGTGAGCTGTATAACAGTCAAATGTTAATATGCTTAATATATTGAAAGTGTATTGGCCAGGCATGGTGGCTCATGCCTATAATCCCAGCACTTTGGGAGGCCAAGGCAGGCAGATCATAAGGTCAGGAGTTTGAGACCAGTCTGGCCAACGTAGTGAAACTCCATCTTTACTACAAACACAAAAAATTATCCAGGAGTGGTGGTGTGTGCCTGCAATCCCAGCTACTCATGAAGCTGAGGCAGGAGAATCACTTCAGTCCCTGAGGTGGAGGTTGCAGTGAGCCAAGATCATGCCACTGCACTCTAGCCCCAGTGACGGTGCAAGACACTGTTTCAAAAAAAATTACGTTTATTACTGCTCTGATTGTAAACTGATACAGTATAACAGTAGATTATTTGGTATTTGGTATCAGGAGCTTTTAAAATGGTCATCCTCTTGACTCAGTAGTTGGAAATCTATCGTTAAAAGGGTCTTCTGAGCAGATTCTATATAAGTAAAATGTTCATTAAATACTTTTCATACTTTCACATAACTTGAAATAACCTAACTATCCAACATTAGAGAAATAGTTAAGCAAATTAAGCAACATCTACCCAGTAGAATACTACACCACCATCAAAAATCAGATTTTGAAGAGTTCTAAATTACACAAGGAAAAAATCTTACTCTAATATAAATGGAATAAAGTTAACAGAAAATTGAATATATAATATGGCCTCAACAATATAAGAAAATATACTTAAGACCAAAGACTAAAAGGAAATATACCAAAATGATATCATTATTGTCTCTGGGTAGTGAGGTCATAGATTAGTTTCTTCTTCCTTTTCTTTTTATAATTAGATGTAAACCACAATTTCTTCTTCAATGAGAACACATTTTTATAATTAGAAAAAATGATCTAATAAGAGTATCTTTTAACTACAAGGTTATGTGCCCTGAAAACATTCCTAGTTTCCCTTAAAGTCATTTGCTTAATGTAAGTAAATTTGTCTAAATCTCTCTAGAACACATATTCATGTGCTCTACCCCAGGAGTAAGGCGTTCCTAAAATCTACTCCCTACTATGTAAAATAAAAGTACCTTTAATTTTTTTCCGAATTTGTTTCAGACTTCAAGTAGAGTTCTTGATTATTTTTGTTCAACAACACAAACTACAAACGTAATCTGTTTGACAAACCATTTTTATTCAAAAGTACAATAATGCCTTGTTTCTAAATCCTTCCAGAGGACCTAGTAAAAGAAAATGCCTAACACTGGGGAAAAGAAGGAGCAGCCTAACTCAACCACAGAATTGTAAATTATATTTGGCCACTGTCCTCAAAAAAACTCAAGTGGATTCAGTAATCCTGAATACCTGTTACACCAAGCATGTCTACTATAATAGGTCACAAGGATTACAATGAGTTGAGTTCAAAGGCAAGCATGACATATAGCTATAGCAATTAATCTTGGGTTCCTTCTTCCTTAAAAATGGCCAATAAAACAGAAGAAACGCTGTATCAACAAATTCAGAATAAAATGGAATAATTGCAAATATTTCTATAATTTGTACCAGCACATCTGGTACAAATCTACCAGTAGGTAAACACTGTAGAGCCCCTAGAGATGGACAAGGAGAAGATGTGGCAAAGATGCTCTTTAGGGGAATAAAGTCATCCTAAAAACTGAAGTTATTTTCTGCTCTACCAATCAAGGAATCACTTGCTGGGAAAGCCCCAGAAGAAGTAGAGTGAGAAGAGGACCGAATTGGAGGGCCTCAGATTTGCATTTTAATCATAACCCTTCATAGTTAATTAGGAGAGTTGAGTAGTCTCTGGATCTCAGTCTACCACCCATAAAATGATGGGTGGACTGAAAGATTTCTAAGTTTCCCAGTTCTGACACTGCATGGAGCTATAAGGAGCTCCATCCTGGTTGGCTCCTGGAGCCACCTGGAGACTTTGGTTTCAGAGAACCAAGGAGTCTCAGTGCTGAATGAGGATATAGTTCCTCAGTGTAGAATTTTAGAAACTATGCAAGCACTTTGGGTCTTTAAAAAAAATTAGTTGGTCCCTGGGCTGTCTCTTATAACTTTAATATTTACACTATGACAAAGTGAAAATGTTCATTAGTGTTCAAGCCGAAGTGATACCACTCTCTTTATTCATTCCAAAGAGCTTATTTCACAGAAACAAGAAAGCACTGGAGAGACAGAGACCCATGGGATATTTGCCTAGCCTAAGTGAGTCTCAGACGGAAATAAATATGAAAAGCATTTCACATGGGACCTGTGAGAAACTGGTTCTTACATCTGGCCTTCAAAGGGCCAGGCCACAAATAAGTGGCCTTTGACATGCCCCTTCTCTAGTTCAGCCTGGAGCTGCCCACAGTTCCCAGAGGTGTCCAGTCAACTCATTCTCCTGATGCAGGATCCTCAAAGAGAATCTGGAGTAATGGCGGCTGGTGGTCAGAGGCTACCAAAGAATCATGGAACAAAGATCTCTTTCGAGTTTCTATTTCCTCCGAAGAAGCTCAAATACCTCAAGAATCCAAGTTCCCCTAAAGATTGCATTTTTCTCAGCTGTAGTCTCTCTAGTTGTGATGAGTGTCTCAAAAATGAAATCCTCTCCTTCTGAGTTTATGATAGTTTATGACCTGCCACTTCATTTCCAGTCATGTGTCCCCATTCCCCTCACAATCCAGACAGGACACTTTCTCTTTCAGTTGCTTGGTGAGAGCTCTTGCCTCTCCAGATCAGCTGTGATCTTACTGCAGAGGTGGGAGTATACTCAGCCACAGGGTCCAGGAGAACTACTGCCACTGAAAAGAGCACCTTCCTGTATTTGCAGGCTCTGCATCTCTTCTGGTACCCCCAGGGAAAAACCCAGCAGAGTCCACCCATAGTCTTTGAGGATTAATTCTGTAAGAACTTCTTACACCGAAGGGAATTCTCCTCCAGGAGATGATTCTGCTCTGTACTTCTGAGCTCTGATGGCAATCACATCAACATTGCCGGGGCCTGTGGCAGAAGAGGAACATCACCCACTGGAGACCAGAGGCAAGATGTTCCTCTGCAGTGCCAGGAAGTGGCCAAAGGCACAGCTCTGCTCCTCCAATTTGTGGTTTTCTCTGACATCAAAAACAGAATGTGATTTGCATTTGAAATTTTACAGAATTCCTCACTTTAGGTCAAGACTGGCCTTACCCACAGGGTAGTGACTTATGTGGTAGGATTTCACACACACACACACACACACACACACACGCACACGCACATGCACACACACACAAATATTATCCATAAAAAGAATTATATTCCCACCAACCTGCAGTGGCATTCATCAGTGACCCTTTGAAGTTCAGCCATTGAAGGTGCAGGTTAAAATGCAAATTTGTTTCTTGGAGAGGTAGCACATGGAGCTATTATCAACTGTTAATGTTCCAGTATTGCTGGAATATCAGACTAAGAAATTTTGGTTGAAAATCAACATATCAATAAATGAAGACTGGCTTTATATATTGCATACTTAATTTATGAAAACGGTAACATTAAAAGGTGGCACCAAAATGTAAATAGAATCAAGATCACTTTGGAAAAATTAATGCATGACACACCTTTGATATATTATTAATGGAAATGAGTTTGGGTGATATAATTTAGCCTTTGAGATTAGTGTCAACAAAGAAAGGTATCTCCTCTGGTGCCCATGGCAAAAGCGGAACATTAGTACTATTCACCATAGATCAGGCTGTTTGTAATTCAGTGTAAGTGATTTATATAACAGAGAGCAAGAAGACCTGGTTTTGACTCTATCTCTACTACTTACAAGATGCATGAACCTGCTCAAATCACATAAGCAAGGTGAGCCTCAGGTTCTTCATCTACAAAATTGGGATGTAGAAAAGAAGAGTAAATGTAAAATTCCTGTTCAGCAACTGTCTATTAAAGAATCTCTCCTTCCTGCCTCTCTCTATTCACATCCACTGGGGAAAGGAGTAAGCTGATGATGCCAGCAAAGGACCTCAGCACTCCTAGACCTAATCCTGAACCACTAACAGCTCTGAATTTGGAACAGGAGTGTTACTCCCATTGTTAGTTCTTTGTTCACCTGTCTCCTGGTGTTTGTTCACAATGGCAACTTCATGGGAAGGAAAGATTAACTTTTTGGCCTTCTTGTACTAGCCTGTATGTCTGTCTACCTTTCATACAAGAACCACCTTGTTGATTCAGACTGGAAGCTTCAAGAGGGAAGTTTCTTTCCATTTAATGCACTGAGGATGGTGCTCAACAGAGAACCACACTCAAATGGGGGCTAAATACTACATCGATATCATGGTTACAAAAGAAACAACTCTGTCTCTCACCAAATCACTAAATCCTATATTGTATAAAAACAAAATTGAACTGCAAACATCACCACCATGGCAAGAGGATTTAGGCACACTGACCAACTGATTACATTCTATTTGTCATCCAGAGTGATCCTGGAGGCCTTCAGAGCCTGGAGGAAACCTCTCTGTGACTCTACCCATATCTTTACACAGGGAAAATCAAACTAGGCTGAGGATCTGCAGAGGCTTCCAGAAGTAAACTGATTGCAGAAGGGCAGCCTGCTGCCTGAGGGGAAGAGGAAAGGGTGGGCCCCCTGGGAGGGACCTCTGCCTTCTCAGCACCTGGGGTTGGTTTCCAGATGGTCACACAGTTTAACCCTTTCCTGTTATAGACAAGGAAGTGGAGGCCCGGAAAGCTTAACAATCTTGCCCAAGATCCAGAGTCGGGGTTGAGAATTGCTTGTGCGAGACTCAGACCCAAAGCAGATGACCACATTTTCAAATTCAGTGAAAACTGGAAAAGCCATTATGGCCCACCCAGCCTGGAAAACTCCCATGTATTATTACCAATACATAGTAAGGCAATCAAAGATTGACAAGTTTACTCAAAAACCAGTTAGAAGGCCTCTCCCACATGCAAAATCCCACTCTACTAGAGCACTCACTGACCATCACGCTGTCTTAACACATCTTCCTTTTGCTGTCCTTTCAAATCCCTTTGAGCCTGTGCCGGAAGTGACGGGAACCGGCACGCTCTCTGCAGTCAGTTCTGACCAGTTCTCTGGGGGTTTACACCTGTCCTCTGGCCGCTTGTCCACTGCACTTCCTGCATCTGCTTGTTTCACTCTGGCCCCAGATTTACCTGAGGAGTACTTGGCCTGTGCCTTGAGTTCCAGTGCCTCTGTTTACTTCACAAATATCAACATCAATTCTTTCAGCTTGTTCCAAAGCCAACAGAGCCTATCATCAGCAGGCAAGCCCCACCACTTGTTATGTAGCTGAGCCCGAGGAGCCTGTGGGTCCCAGCCAACTTTATCACCTCCCTCTTCTGAGAGGCAGAAATCCCCAACATCTCACGGTCCCCTGTGAGTGTGGAGATTCCCACACCAGGAAGTACCTGCTTCACCAGGAAGTACCTGCTTCAGAGAAGCCCATGAGAAACCCCCGCAGAGCTAGCGGGGCCTACCCTCCCATTGTGAGAAAGCAAAGGGAAGAAGGGATCCGGCTGGAGGACACTCTTGCCACTGGTCTTCCTCACTCAGGTCCAGCCTGTGAGTGGATAAAGCACAGTGGTGGGTTGGGGCATCTGGCTCTCCCCTGCCCTCCTCATCAGAGGTTTGGTGCTCCCTGGGAGCAAGATTCAGCTGAGGAATGTCTGGGATGCTGGCTGATTCTGGCCCTAAGGACACTGGGAGTAACAGCGGGCTGCTAAGGATGTGATGGTGACTGGGCTGTTCCCTTCACATGACCCTACCAGGCAAGCCCTGGCCAACTCCCAGCACCTGCTGAAAATTGAATCTGACCACTGGAGTGATTGGATTCATGACATATGGTGGGGGCCCGGGGAATGGGGATCCTGGGTCATGGACACAGCTGAGGAATCTCCTACCTCCCAACATTGCTTGACCCTTTCACAAAGACAGTGGTAGGTAGAGAAGGAAAGAGAATTGGCCTACTCCTTCCTTTTGGCTGTTATATGGTCATAGGAATTGCCAGAACTTTATATCTAGATTCAAGGGATCTCTCTCTCGCACAATTAGCTCTAAAACCTTGGGAAAGTTACTTAACCTCCTGGGTCCTCTTTGTTCATGAAATGGGAATGTAATACATACCTTGGTTGGCTGTGAAAGTTACGCGAGTCAGTGCTGTTGGGAAGTTGAAGGCACACAGTAGATGTGCAAGGAAAATTAAATTCCATTCCCCAGTTCCTGGCTGGCAAGCTGGGGGCTAAACTCCTCTAAGCTCAGAGGAGACATGATGGGGGATAAAGGGAGAAGTGGGAAGCTCAGGGGCTGGGGTTTCCACTAATCCACGTCAAACTCCAAGTGACAACATCTTCACAATCCCATGAAATCGAGCAGAATTTCTCTTCTTTCTTGTGACATTTCCAGAAATGAAGAGAGAGGGTATAAAGACATGGAAACTTTGATCTTTGGCTTCACTTTGGTTCCAAGACCCGGAGCCAATGGTGTGTGGAGGGTGGTCTGTTTGTCCAGGAAGTGTGAATAAGACCAAGGTGACCCAGCCCAAATCTGGGACACAGCTACACCAACAAGCAGCTGGATCTTGTGTCTCAGCACCCACAGAAATGTATAAATCATAGGATACCAACTGCTCCCTGGCAGCCTCCGTCTCCAGAATATAAATGCCCAACAACTGGACTGGCAAAGAAACGAGACCCTGGGCAATGCCTACTGCAGACCCTTATTTCTTGTGGTTTGCCAAGAAAGAAAGAAAAAAAAAGTAGGCCCAGGCCAGAGGAGGGGGAAAAACAGGAGAGTCTAAAGTTCTTCTGACTGAAAGAAAAGACCACATAAGAGAGAAAGAAAGGAATGAGTTCAGTAGTAAAAGGCTGTGAGTTTATTTATAATTCAACTAACATTATCTTCCTAGACAAACATTCTAAGGATTACGTGAACAATACAACACTTTTTTGAGCTCTTTCTGATCAGATGCTTTGCTGTTAAAGGTTATATTCCTGGGGAGTTGATATTGAAGCTTCCTGTTTCTTGTCAGTAAACACAAGAAGAGGCCAACCCTCTGTAAATTTAAATGACATAAAACCTTGCCCCCAACTGCCTGGTTTCTTAACAGCCCCTTTTCACTGAACTCTCTGGTTATGGAAAATAAGTATCTTCATCACAGTAGCACAGACTTTTGAAAATTTGACATAATAGAATTTCTCCCTCATAAGACATATCTAACACCATTGCAAACTAGTGGGGTTTTTTGTTTGTTTGTTTGTTTGTTTGTTTGTTTGTTTTGCTTTTAGCCAAGACCAAAGCAGAGGGTCTTTTATTTGTTTGCTTCTGTTTAGATTACTTCCACATGATCAATAAAATGTTCTCTCTGACCATCATCCCTGCTGACTAGAAGTGCCAGGAAGCTTCACTTACCCTCACTTCCAGAGGTGAAGGTATGAATGGATTGTGGGAAAAAACAACAACGCAGCAGAACATTGGGGGCAGCAGAGAGAAAGTGGGAGGACCCTGTGAGCGGATCATCTCAAAGCAGCAAGGAATCAACACGCAACTAACGAACAAGGTGCCCGAAGATGGAAACAACAATTTTTAGTGATTTGGGCTTGTCTCTGTTCTGTGAAGCTCCAACTCAGTGGCAACCTGGTGTGAAAATCTAGGAAATATTTTTTGATTTAGCTCTGGAACTCCAGGTCTGGCAAGGTATAGGTTTCTTGAATGAATAAATGAATGAGCATGTCAATCAATGAATGAACAGGAATTTTGAGAAGGGGAAGAAAACTATTACAGGCCAATGAATGGGGTCCCAGAAGATTCCCCTTGTCTCCCATTGTCTTCTGACTCAGGGAGACGACAGCTGGAGCAGAGTACCTAGGGTGTGGGGACTTAAGAGGCCACACATCTTAGAAAGCGTTTCACCATCAAGTGCAATTCCTTCGGCAGTCTGAATTATAATATTTACTTCCAGGATACATTCTCCAGCTGTTGTAACCGCTAGTGACCCTTCTCTGAATCCCTACTTCATATGTTAGATATTTTTTCATTTGGAGAATTACTATGGCGTTGACTGTTACGCTTCCTTTTTACTTCCCTCTCTAATAATAAAATCCTCAAGGGTTGAGACTGTCATATTCTTGTTTTTGTGTTTACTTCACTGCGTATCCTAGAGCTGAGAACATATGGAAGAATGAATCAGTTAATAAAATTAATGAATACATGCTGAGGTTTAAAGAGAAGAATATTAACTGCTTGGTTTGATGACAAAAAGCAACATCACTCTGTGTGTCTAGCTCCCAGCCCAGAGGTGCAGGCTCCATCCTCTCATGTGAGGGGCCCACAGCGATGCACACGCACCTGCAGCCCATACCTAAACCCTGCAGCTGGCACAGCCCTCTCTGCTCTTCATTCACCATTCTCACGAGTTGTAATGACAAGTTCAGCCCTCCACGTCATACTGTATCTTCCACCCTGGGGAACTTTTCACAGCTATCCCAAGCCCCACGCTGACGAATCAAGACTGAAAACATACTCCGATGCCAGCACAGACCACGGAGCAAGTGTCAGACAAGATCAGCCTCAGAAACATGAGTCTTGAATTGCGATGGAAGTGAGCTTCCTCTTACAAGGACTTTGTGTGGAGACACGCAGGTGAGCTGCTGGAAAAGGTCCATGGAATGCCCTTCCTCTGGGTGCCTTTTCCATCCCAACCTCTGGGGATTCCTCAAGAATCGGGGAGGTTTGGGACTCCGTCTGCCCCAAGATCACAGGATTCATCCTGGCCTCTGGAAAGAACTGCCCAGTGTACCAGGTTTTTATGAGTCACTTTTAGAGTCGGGAACGTGGGCAGATTTG